AAGGCACTCTGACCTCATGACTTTATTTTTTAATGCTGGCCTAGAAAAAGAAATATCTTACCATGAATAAATAACAAACGACGGATGCCATGGAGTGAATAATTCTTGCTCTTCCTTTTGAAGAAGGGGTTAATTGTAACTCAGCCTGTCTGCTCTGGCAGAACTACTCAAGATAAAGCTCTTTCTTGGAAGAATACCCTTAGGAAGTTGGTGACCTAGAATGAGCTTGGCACAGGATTGCCTTTTAGCCTGAACTGTGATACTGGCTGCTACAATCTCTGTACACAGATAGTTTTTGACAGGCTGTGCAAACAGCCTGGGGTCAGAGCCTGCAGGCTGTCCTTGGGCGAGCAACAGCTGTGGAAGGGGGAGCTCAGTCCCTGTGCTGTTGAGACAGCCAGCAAAATTCCCAAACCCTGGTATATAGGGCACAGGGGGGCACTTAGAGGCAAACACAGGTCCTCCTTATGGGGCGGTGAAAAGGGCACGGGAAGCAGCGGAGCAACAAACGGGATGGTGTATGGAAGATGTGCAGTGGGAGAATTTTTAATCTAATCCCTATAGAACAGTCTGATCCTTGCAAATTTTTCCCCTCCTTATAGTTTTTTATGAGTCTAGGATTTTCCTAACTGAAGGAGAGTTCAGATAAATCAGCAACCGGAGAGGATGTCAACTTCCACGGTGTTTCAGACTGACAGACCCCTTCTCGAGATACTACACGTCGCAGGATTTGATTGTGCTTTCTCGGCCAGAGAATTTCTGTCAGTACCTCTGCCAAGTGACGGATCTGGGAGGGTTTGCTGGCGTTCCAGGCCCAGCCGGCCTCTCCATTCAGAGGCAGCGGCCGCCGGTCCCACACAGGCTGCAGCGAGGCCACCCAAACGTCGAGTTTCCACTGAGGAAGGCCAAGTTCCCCGTACTCTTCTTATTTTTGCAACTCTAGCAGGGGCCGTGTCCTTGGTTTCTTTCCGTGCCAAATAAAGCGTCTGCACATTTTGTCTAGTTCGCTTTTGTGCAGCTGAGGCGTTTGTCCCAGGAACACCTGCAAAAATAGAGTTCTGAAGGCACGGATCCCTCTCTGACAGGTTAATCAACCCCGAGGAGTAAGAAATTATCCTGCTAGATCTGTGAACGCAGTCACAGGTTGCCTTGCAAGGGCAGCTTGTGGAGATGAAAGCGGCTGGGGAGAGCGTGAACTGTAAGCATGCAGACAGCTCATATAAAATGCTTTCTGAAGGATGCTCTGGGGCAGATCCTGCCCCTCAGCACAGCGGTGTAAAGCTGGAGTAACCCAGGCTGCTTTGGTGAGGTTACCCCAGCTCTGTTCCACTCTACAGCAGAGCAGAATTCGAATGAATTACCCCTGAATGGAGAATAAAGGGCATGTACGGTAAATAATAAATTTCTGGGTTTTCTGCCCTCCACGGCTGCCTTTCATAAATATTTCAGGCTGCAGCTGATTTCTGCTTCGCTGGGTCAGCCAAGAGCTCAGGCTGGGCAAGTGCATTTCAGCGTCACTTGTGTTTGAGGGCTTGGGGGGAGGCAGAAGCACAGCAAACTGATTTCTAAGAGAGGGAGACTCTGTCCTGCCCAGGGCACTGTTTGAAGTACCCCAGGGCACTTTCTGAGGCTGTGCGTGACCAGACGTGGCGTCTGTTTTATTTATCTCTTGCTGAATTGAGAAATAGGGAAGAGAGAGGGGAAGGAGCATTACAGTCATAAAAATTAGGCTGATGCAAAAGCGTCAGCTGAGATATTTCAGCATTTCAGAAGCGAATAATTTGATTCTGAAGAAGTCAATTTAAAATATTCCAGTAGCTCTCACCCCATGCGGTCCCGCCCTGCAGACTGGCACTTGACAGCAATCTGTGAGGAGTTTGGGTTGTTTGGATTCCTCCAAAGCTTCATTTTTTTGGGGAACTTTGGTCAATGAGTGATGAGGCTGACTTTTTTTTTTTTTTGTACATCACTGCCGAACTCTGCGCTACTCTGTGTCATTCAGCAGCTATTGCAGTCCTGTCAGGACATCAGATACCTGTCTTCACCACGCAGACTCTTTCTGGTGTTTTCCCCCAGGTGCAGCACGTTGTAATTCGCTGCCTGTGACTGCCAAGAGATGACAATGCCAGGAGTGTCCGTAGTTCACAGTTACCTTGCTGGTGGAAATTCCTCCACTTTTTCTTTGTAGAGAGTTCAGCAGAAAGCAACCAGAGAGCTGAGAGGGACGAGCCTCTCCCGTAGGGCCGGGAGGAAACCTCGATTGTGGATTTCTGCATATTTCCGAAACGTCCAGTCAGGCATTTCCTGGGGCACAGACAGCTCGTGGTCTCGGTGGAACAAACGGCCGCCTGCACATTGTCACAGCATCAGCAATAACCTCCTCCCTCCTGCCACTTCTGCTGTAGATTCCTCCCCTGTGCTCTCCATTAGGTTTGTATCTCTGCTGCCAAAAAAAAAAGAAGGATGTGGCTCTCCTGGGTTCCTGCTGGAGGTAGACTTTGTCCTCGTCTAGGGTTTGATTCCTTTCACTGTTTATTTTTCAGGTGTGTTTAAAACATTTTTAATAACATAATTGCACTGATGAGACCTAGTACAGGAGCAGGTGTGAATAGCTCTTTCCCCTTGTGCAGCTTGATATTTTCTTGGGTTCAGAGGGGGAAATCGGTGGCCTGGCAGAAGTGGAGGGATCAGATGAGACACTTTGTGCTGTCACGGGTCAAAATGAGGGTTACCTGGAGGGAAAGGATTTCATTGTCTGCACTATATTTTCAGTGTTAACCATGCCAAGAGTGTTCCTGCTGAGAAACAGAAAATTTAAAGCTGTCATCCACAGACTCACCTTGAAAACCCATATTGAAATATCAATAATTGAGGATAGCTGTTCACTAAAAAGGGTACTGACAGGCAGTACTGATCACTGGTAGCTGTAAGTGCATTTTATGCCTGCAGTATTTTCCTGGCAGACTTTATTCTTTTGCAGCATCCTGTATGAGAAAGGAGAAGATAAAATAACTTTTCCTGGAGAAGACCCAGAGTGTTAATTAAGGAAATGGCATTTGGACATCCATTCCTGACTGGCTGGAGCTCGTAAGTATTTGGTGTCTCGTCCGCTGGTGAAGAGCTTTCCAAGATGATTTTCTCTACAAACACTTTTATATATATATTTTTTTCTGCCACTAGAGGTCCTAAAACCAATAAGGAGTGGAGGCACAACCTGCGTGCAGGTGGCACTGGAGCATTCTCACAAGGTGGACCTGAGAGCTGGGTTTGTGAGACCCCTCGTGGGTCTGTGCCCACGTTGGCTGCTGGCATGGGCGAGTGCTGCAGGCAGGCTGGAAGAGCTGTGGGCATCTGACCGTGGGGTGGAGAAATGAGCTCAGCCTGCAGCCCAGAGCGATTTTGTGGTTCCTGCCACATCCTGGAGGAGCGGGAGGCAGGCTCTTCCTACGCTGCAGCCATGCTCTGCCAATTTGTCACGCCACCCATGTGCGTCCCGTGGCGCCGTGTGCGTGACGGCAGCAGGGAGGGCTGAGCTGCGGAGGCAGGCCCCGAGGCTGCTCAAATTGAGCTGCTAAGGGGAATGGTAGGGAAACGCAGCAGGGAATCCACTGCCAAGGTGTTAAACAGCTGGGCAGCTGCCACCAGCTGAAACAGCTTCGAGGATTTGTTTCTAGGTCCTTAATCCTCAGCCTCCCAGTTTGTCCTCTCCCCTCCAGAGCTTGCTTTTGCAACCAGAGAGACAAAAATCACTCCAGGTGCCAGGGAGAGCAACAGAGAGAGCAAATGGCCCGAACACATGAAAACGTAGAGAAAAGCTTTTCCCTGCCAGGCGTTGCAGTAGGGGCCAGGATTTGCAACATAAACCCTGGGCTGCTGCTGTTGTCGTGGCCGTGCTGGATTGCTCTGCCGCACCGCGGTGCTGTAAAAAGAAATGGATGGAGGTACTTGGAAACTGGAATTGAATGCAGCTTTTCTCATTTTCAACTTCTCTCTCTTCTTTCTCCCTCCTAAGAAATGAATATTGATTTTCCTCATTCTGCTGAGTCTGCAGTCCTTGCTAGCATTTGGTTGCTGTAAACACTCTCAGTAGAGCTGTCTATGAAAGCGCCAGCAAACCAATCTTTATCGGAATTTGCCAGCTTGTTGAAAGCAAGACATCTCGGAGGCTGATGCTCTTTCTTGTGCCGGGACGACAAGGAGGCAGAGCCTGGCCCCTTGCCATGGGCAGCCCAGCCCTGCCACCTCTCTCACCGTGCCTCTGGGGAGAGCCCCAGCTCTCGTTCAGAGTAAAGGGAGCATCGCTTCTTGTTCCACACTGAGACCAAGCTGAACCCAGGAACCTTGGAAGTTCTGCAGAGAGGAATTCCCGTCCTCCGCCAAGCCTCCGCATCATGTTACGACTTCTAATGCTGAATGCAAACGTACAGAACACTGTATTTTTCAGAAAGGGCTGTAATTTTCTAGTAATTGGCAAGTTATGGTCTCCTTGTACTTGTTTTGCTTATCAAGTTATTTTTCAGTGTCGAGGCCTATTTTGTTTCAGCCTCCCCTCTCACCGCCAATTTAAGAGTTGTTCCTGGCACCAGGGCCGCACGCGTGAGGCTGTTCCGACAGTGGGAACTGGAGCCGAAACAGCTCGCTGTTTGCCTGGAACTAAAAGTTATTTCCTTAGCATCAGCACCGCTCTCAGTTCTTGAGGTTGTGTGCGTGCCTGTCTACAGGGACACCACGGGCTGGCCGTGGCTTGCTCCTCTAGGAAAGTAACGTTTCCTTTGTTTCTGCAGGGAAAGGAATCAAGGCACGGGCATCAAGGCATGGCCTGTGGGCTTGCTGTGGCAGTGTGGGATTGACTGACCTGCAGGGGCTCCATCAGTGTCGCTGCCGCAGTCGGATAAGCAGTCAGCAGGATTTGTTGACTTATCTGTAAGTTAAAACATCTCCTGGCACCGCCGATGACAAGTTTTCCATGGGTGTGACGTGTATGCAGATTAGGTAAGGAGACAAAAAGCCCGTGTTTCAGCTAGACAGCTTGGCCAGTGAAAATTTCTATGTGAGGCTTGTTTTTAATTGACTTGATGAGTTTTATGCATCTGCCCACTCGAAATATTCTGGTTATGAAACCGTCTCTTTGTTCGCTGCTTGGCTTTTGGTTTCGAAGCAGGCAAAGCAAGCAGCGTGTGCTAATGAAAAGGACACAGAAAGAGAGATGTTAATGCAACGTACTGCATTAAACATTTCGGTTTGCCTACGGCTTTTTGACCACTTTTGGTTTGTTTAGTAATCCCAAACCATATGTATATAGAGTGATTGACAAGATCCATTGTGTTTGAAGCGGCTTCCCAATGGATTGAACGCAGATATAAATATCTGATGCTCAGAATCTTTAGAGATGAGCTCCTGATACATCAAAATAGCATTTGATTTTCTTTCATATCTGCTCTGAAATTTTTCATGCAAATGTCAAATTAAAATGATGAAAAAGAGACTCTAAAAAAACCCCAATGGTTTTAACTTCATAGGATACTAACTTAAGAAGTTAAGAAAAAATACTACGAAAAACATAAAACCATAGAATCGTAGAAAAACCAAAGGATGTAATCCTTTGAAAATCATTTGTGCATATAACAACATAAAGGACATTATTAGATCAATTCTTATCTGTCTATAAAACTGAGAGAGTATGAATAAATGGCAAAGAATGGAGATTTGTTAGCAATCTTCTGAATAATTATACAAAGTAGGCTACAGTGTTTATATCTAATGCATATTTTAAAAAATGGATGGTTTTCATCATCTTCCGAATTTGTAACGCAAACTACCTTCAATTCAATGTAAATAAACGTGATGGTATTATCAAAGGTCATGGACTTTACTGAAGGTCATAGTGCAGCTGTGTAGAAACCAAATGATGTGTTCAGCCTTTAGGTTGGTCTCTGCATAAATTGGGGTCAAGCTGAAAAAGAGAACCTTGCTAACGATCCGCACGCCTGTATCTGTTCTCTGTCATCAAAATTCTGTTGTGTCTGATGCACAATAACCCCAGCTGGGCAGCTGTTTTACAAAATCCACCATTTGCAGCTAGAAAGACAGCAAAAATGCTGTGCCTGCTATCCAAAGCGGTGGAGCCAGATTGCTTTTGCGGTGCATCCTTCCAAGCCACCTGGTGGAGAAATGGCCATGGGCTGGAGGCATTAGCCAATATCGTAGCATAGTAAAGAATAAAACCACAACATTTCACTGTGCACTGCTATACTTTATTGAGGGCTAAAATGGTGCAGGTTGCATAGCTTAAAAACGTGAGCCAAGAAGTTACCGATATTTGCAAAACGCTCTTTTTTGACTCTCTTGTGTAAGACTCTCCAATATGTTTAGAACCTGAATCAAACTGCTGGAGATAAAATGAGATATGAGGTGCAAAGGCAGAGACTGAAAGCTTTCACTCACGTGTCACCATCCAGATGTCATGAGAAGGAATCTAGGCTGCTGCTGTTGCCTTGGTTGCCTCAGCATAGCCCCATTCCATTTTAGTAAGCAGACAGTGTGACAGCTCAGCCAGGGTCTCTAAGGGAGGACCTGCAGGCACTTGCACATGGACTGGGAGATGCCCTGGACATTTCTGTACTGCAGGATTTAGCTTAAACCTTGCTCTAACCATCCCCGAAGTTCAAACTTTGGGTTAATGCACAGATTAAATGCTTTCATTCTCTTTCTCTGTCTCAGTGATGATGTCCTTACCCAACAGGATGAGCCCCAGACTGTTGCCAATACCGAATACATCATTGGGCCTCGGTTTACAAGTAAGTTGAGTAATACTTGAGGCCTTCATGTTCTTCCATTTCCAGTTAGCTGGAGGAGGAATAGACCAGGCTCTTTAGGAAGCACTGTTAACCGCGAGGTGACCTGGTCTTTACTCTGACCTTTTAACTCATCTTCATGGGTGGGTTTGGCTCCAAGCCTACGTTATGCCTGGGTTGCCAAATTCAAAGAAACAGGTGGAGTTGGAATAGAAGGTGTTTATTCGTGTTATGCTGGAATTCCTTTGCTTTTGCCTGAGGCTCTACTAGAGAGGTCTTCAGAGTTAACAAGGCTATTCCATTCTTGCCTGAAACATTTTGTTCTTACATTTCTCTCCTGTCAATTGGAATTAGAGGAACCAGAAATGTTGTGCCTGTCTAAATACAGAGCTAAAAGTAATTCCATGTTCTGTGATGCTTGAAGCATTTCTTTCTGCTTGTATTGTGTGAAAGATATGCAAGAGTGTAGAAAAAAAGCAAACTAGCACCCTTAGTAGAGACCCTTTATTGAGCTTTCTGTGAAACCTACACGAGAAAAAGGCTCTCGTTCATAGATGTGACAACAAGGGCAAAGTGTGCATCACCTCCGTGGGAAAGCAATCAACCAAATACAGGGCATGCAGGAAGGAAACTAGGAAAAACAGGAGATAGGTGTTTTACTTTAGCATGTGTGCACCACAACAGGTTATGTTTATATCAGAGGGAAGGGCTCTGCACAGTATGGCCCACAGTCCTTGTCCCCTTGCTATCCCCATGTGGAGCCCCCTGGACCATGCTGTAGCTCCTTTCTGTCCTATGCTCTGGAGTTTAGTTCCCTTGGAAACCAAACACACATTTACACAGTTACTAAATGCAACAAGTATAATAACAATTATTCTTTAAATTGTACTGAGCTGTATATTTTCATTTTATTGTTGGAAAAGGTATTGTGTAACATATTATTCTATTGTACATATATCTACAGCAGCCCTTATCTTCTAGGCTTTTATCATTACACTGAAAAGCAGTATAAGATGAGGATGTCCACATCTCTGAAGTTTTATTCCAAACTCTCCCTCTCTAAACAAAAATATTTTCATTCTCGGTGATAAATCCCACTTGTGATCAGTTCTAGTATTTGTATAAACATTTTTAAACATGAAGCTAAATGCTGAAGGAATGATATTCCCAGTGCAGAGTCCAAAATAGAATAAATAATACATAATTTAAAAATCTGGCATACTTATAATTTAAAAAATAAAAAGGAATCACATTTCGTTAAAACATTTCAATCGCAGCTTTTCTGCAATTTTAGAAATTTTCTTTTCTCACCCTAGACTTGGGCAATGATCAGTGATCACTGTTGTTCTGGAAGAAGTTGTTCCCATCCTTGCAGCTGAAAATTGAAGCATTTTCAAGAACGTCACAGGAAAATTTGAATGGCACAGCAGCAAATGGTGTTAAGTTGTGATGCTATCAAAGGAGTGAGTGGTGACTAGGGTGATTGGAGTGATGCCCGAACATGGCATGGAAACTGCAGCACTCAAACCAAACAGGGACCCAACCGAGGAATTTTTTGGACAACATAACACGGAATGCTGTTCATGTCTTCTATGATAACTAATTCTATATGCTTGAAACAAATTTATTATGATTTACTAAGAGCCGGTGACTGGAATACTCCGGGCAGAGTATTCTGATATTCTTTCCGTTGTCTGAAGCACACACGTTATGCTGTACATTGTCCAAAAAAAGCTATTTTCCGTCTTGAAAGAAATATCAATAGCTAATTAGGTTTCATTAATGATACCCTCCCCCTTTAATAAATATTTGTGTTTGTGATTGGTTTATATTATAAATCAGGTGTGGAGCTGACCTGGGAAAACTCCCAGATCTTTGTTCTTCTGTCTTACAAGGCTCTTGTAAAGTGTCCTCATTGTTTAACTCCCAAATTAAAAGTGCCCGAACAAAATACTGATAGAAGTTTGCTCTGCTAGTGCACACTGAGGCCATTCTCATTACCTAACACAAGCTCCTGTTGACTTCTGTGAAAGAGAGGAGGTCAGAGGGGATGCAGGCTCTACAGCAGCTTGTTTAGAAGATTATGAGTGTTCCTGTCTTCTGAGGATGGGCATGGAGACCCATGACAGCAAGAGTCTACAAATCTTGTTGGCTAAAACTGACAGTGTAAAAGACTTACTCAGTGTAGTAGGCAGCAAGCAAGTGGAAGCAGACACCAGTATTTTCTTCCTATGTAGCCGTTGTTGAAACCTGTTGTTTCCCTCCGTTTGCTCTTCCCAGCCACGTTTTTGTCACTGGAATAATGATGAGCTCATCCCATGGCTTTTCAAAAGCAAACGGATGCCACCAATTCTTTCAATTTCCAAATAAGCAGGGGAGCTGTTACTTTTCTCTCACATCTAATTCAGTCTTCTTCCATATTCCATGAAAGGTTCCTGAAGAGTTGTTCTTACTTTGCATGAACACTAAAAAAAAATGTTGTTAATAATTCAGTCTCCTTCTCCCATCCAAATTAGACTCTGGACGAAGGACGTAAGGAAGGGTGTGCCAAATGCTGAAGACTGTTGGTATTCCAAATCAGTGAGAGCGGTTCGTGCCTAATTAAGTGCTAATTTATGCCCTGTGCTATCTCATGGAGGGTAGAAATTTGGCTCAGGATGGAAAATTCGTTTTTTAGCTACTACATATTAAAACATCTACTACTTTTATGCATACAAAACCTACTTTGTTTTATATGGATTGAGTGCACTGTACAATACAGTTAAATTCTCATCCTGATTTGGCTGATTTCCTCTTAGAGTTTGAAAAGTTTCACAAACATTCATTTTCCTGTATCCTCAGAAGTCACAGAGTGTGCTAAAGACAAGTTCTCTGGCAGCCAATATTCCACATTTCCTTCAAAGGGCAAACTCGACTGTCTTCTGCAATAGCAGAGTTGAGAATCCATTGATGCTCACAGTATCTTTATTCCTTGCTTCACAGAATAAATGGAAATTTTAGCTCAAGCTGAATAAACCAGGAGCTGGTGGCAACTAGTTGAGCCAGGCTTTGAAGGAGAGACCTTCCTAACTTCCCTGTATGCTACAGCAAACACAAACATCTTTCTTTTCTGTGTCGGAAATGTATCTTGAATCCCAAAAAGAAGTAATGCTAAATGTTGGTGACTTGATTTCCCCACAGACCTGTCAGTCATCTCTGACGTAGCCCATGGGAATGTTCAAATTGCCACAGCTGGTTTGCATTCTTGTTACATACGCACAAAAACAAGTCCTCTTCGTCTTCACTCTTCACTGCCTCTATGCATTTGCCAGAAAGGACATGGACGATCAATCCATTCTACAAGATGAGAGAAGGGGAAGAAAGAACGAATAAAAAAATAAGGTGAAAACTAGGCCATGTTTCTGAAACTTTTAATGTACAATAGGTCATCAATAATGACTTGTTGTTCAAAAAGGTATTGAACGTGATGACTAAGTTTAGCTCTGAGCCCAGGACATTGCGAGAACACAATTCCTGTGGAAGCTGACAGGCTGCACAAGTGCAGAGCTCACTCTCTCTCTTTTCCAACGCTATTTGTTTCCTGTAGGTAACTGCTGTCATCAGCACCAACTGCAGTATTGGAGGGCACCAAATTTCAAAAGGACCAGTGCTTCCCTTAGGAATCAAAGCGTATTGCAGTAGGCACTGTAGCCGAGGATTGCAGCCTGCCTACGACTACTGTAACTGCTATTTTCCCAGGCTGTCCAAGAGCATGACATTTTTCAGTCTTGCAGAGGAGTTCTGACTCTGTTGGGTGAAATCCACTAAATAATAATGAACTCTTCTAACAAGAGGTTTGTCCTTCAGCAATACAGGAAGAATTTTAAAGATTCCTCTGCTCCCAAAGAGCTCTTATTTGGGAGAATTCAGATTCACAGTGCCTTCCCCTATCCAAAAGATGTGGGCAAGGATTTGTCCTGCTCTTCCTTACACGACCTCTTACAATTCTGATTCTATTCTGATAAGGCCACTAAATTAAACAGATAAAATGAAGGCATGTGAATTTAGGTAGGATTTCAGTACTTTGTATTTTTTAAAAAAATTTGTTTTGCACAGGCAGTGTAAACGTGTAAACAGCATCCTAAATTTCCTGGGTGAAAATGGTCCAGAAATGAAAGTTGCCCTTCAAATATGTCACCCCTTCCCTGCACATGCATGCTGTCAGGCACCCAGTGATGGCAGAGGTGCCCTCAGGAGCCCTCCCCTCACGGCAGTGTCGGTACGGACCTCCTGGACATCCCAGTGCTGCTGGCTGTTGTTTGTCTCCTTCGTACAGTTGTGAGGGACAACCTTGCCGTGGCTGACATCAAAGCAAAGCAGCGGAGCAGACCCAAGCTGGATTTCCTTCATGCTGTTATATTCAAAGTGCTGGAAGAAAGAAGGTTTGTTTGAACAACAACAGAAGGGCATCCCGATGCATTTTTAAACATTCATTCCAAAATTTCCCACTCGTGTTTTCTTAATATGCAACCCAAATATGAGTGAAGGAGAACCAACAGGCCTGATCCTGCAAGGCAATCCCCCCAGCTAGTTTTGGCATAGCTACATACCTGAGACTATTTTTTTGAGGAAGGGCTTTGCGGGCTGTAATTATGCATAAAGTAAACCCATCCTACAAGAAAATGTCCTAGTTTAATAAATATTTGAACAGAAGGGAGTTTCTGAAATTGTCTGTACAGATTGCAGTTAAAAATGTGCCTGCAGCTACCCTGAGCCCAGTGTAAGCAGTGGAACTTGCTTGGGACTTAGAGTAAATATCTGCAGTCAGTCTGTACTGGCTTGACTTCTCTCAGTGCAAGCACTTGCTAGTCTAATGCCAGCTTGGGTACCTACATGAATTTTCTTCCTGTATTTGACTGCAGTTTAGACACTAGAACACAGGAGAAACCACCCCTGTTATTGTAGAATTGATACATATTTTTTACGCCTAGTCTTTCTGTTCTCCAGGCACTACCAAATATACTAACAAATAACCACTTAACGATGTCTGCTGGAGCAAAGTGCGGGGACCAGGCCTCAGTGAAACGTGGAACATTGCCAATTTGCAAATGATAATCATCTATACAAAGACAGGCAATGTTGCCTTAGCACACATACGTTATGTCAATATTTCCCCTAATGCCAACCCACCCATTTACACGTTGGAATCACTATTTTCTTAGTAGTTCCTTAAATCCTGTGCAGTACCCATATACTTGAGGTGTACGGTACCTGGCTGGGGCTGTCACTGCAAGGAGAGAGTTCGATGGAGCCGTCTGCAGTGGCCCTTCCAGGTCTGTAATCTGCACAGAAGCCAACACCAGTATTGTAAAGCTGTAAATAAATGTTTATACTGAAATAAAGCACAGTCAGATACAAAGAAAATATTCAGCTAACTTTTTTTTTTTGTGTGTGTGTGATTACATCCCCTTACAATAGGAGTTTTTGCTTGCAGTTCAAACAATGGATTTTTTTTCTTTCAGACTAGATCTTGCATTTTGATCTTGCAAAGTGATCTGATAAACAAGGGAGAGTCTCACCAAAGGTCAGTGACACCCAATGAGTTTTGTTTAAGTTAGAGTTACCCACTTCTGGTTTTAACTACTACAATGGTTAAAAGAAATCAGCCAAAGCTACTTTTATGATAATGGCAAGTTGCACTTCATCATGACATTGTACATGTAATGAGAAAAAAATTGAGTTGTTCCAGAGGGAAAAAACATTTCCTTTGATCCATAATCAGTTATTATGCTCTTCTCAAGCAAACTTTGGTAATAGGAACAGACAAAATAGTAAAAGGACACAGTAAAATCTGGCTACAGATACCAGGATGTGACTTAATTGGTAGACCTTGTTTCCTGGTTGGGGGAAATCCCTTCCAGTAAGGCTGCCTGGAATGAATTCATATTTTAATTGATGATAATTATCCGCTTACATGGTTTTAAAAATCGTTGAGAATGTCACCTCCTGTACACAGTCTGCCAAGTAAGTGCTATTTCTACCACCTCTGCCCTTGGGGAAAGTGCAGGACTGGAGAAATGCTGCTTTATCTCCTTGCACATGGATCATCGTAGAGATATCTCACCTGCTGTTGCAGTTGCCATCCGTGTGAGGCAACACAGTTCTTTTTCTTTGCTAATAGCACCTAAAGAATCTAAGGTTAGGATCCTCTGATCAATGACACCAAACTGAGACAGAAAATCTGGGTTCATCTCCTGACTGGAGTTCAAGGCTCATGTGAGAATTTGGACCAGCTGTTTGTCTCCTCAGTCCTTTTGCTTCTTGTTCCATTCTTGTTGTGTAGCCTGTTTGTATAATAAGCTTTTCAAAGTGGTAACAGCCACTTACCGTACACTCATTGAGTACCTAGGACATGGAAGCAATACAGGGATCTTTGATCAATACAAAAATAATAATCCTTTTTTTTTTTAGTGTATTTTCTCTTACTTTTCCAGAGAATCTTGGCGTGTCTTCAGTCTGGGAGAGTTCAGGATACACATTTGACAGAAACCACTGGAAATTTTTACAGCCCAATCTCTTCTGTAGCTGAAGACGCTCACTGCAGTCTGGCTTCTCTGCCTTCGTGGAGAAAGCAAAGGGGAAACAAGGTTAAGAGTGTATTTGTGTTAGAAATGCTAGAAATGAAAATTACTGCACAGGAATTATTTCCACTGCCTCTCCTATCCTGCTTGTTATAGATACTGATACATATCTCTCAAGATCAAGCCCAGGAGGAGGACCAGCTGTACCCTTTCTCCAAATGTGTTAAAACAGCATTTACTCTGGTGTTGTGACAGAAGGTAATGTTTCAGAAATAGCACACACTGTGAAAATTAGTATTTCCTTTAAAATTATTATTATCCTGCAAGATAAGTCAGATCTTTTTAATTAAAAAAAGTCTGGGTCAAGTTTGATACTTGTTGTACTGAAATCAGTGGGATTGTATCAGATTGTCATTAAGTATAGAGTTTACACCCCTTCCCCCTCCCCCAGAAAAAAAGATTAAAATTTGATTTCCTGAACTTTAAGAGTCCAAATTACCCAGTCATTGTCAGTCTTCCCTGATGAGAAAATGTAAATGAAAGGAGAATTTGGCCTAACATTAAGCCTATCGAATCATTACCTGGCAGTTGCTAAATGTAGTGGGTGAATGTGTTTTGTGGCTATAAAGGCATAGAAAACTTTCCTTTGATTTATGTCTTTTCTTAAGTTATATACACATGATTGTAACTCTTCACCCTCCTTGGTACCAACTCTTGTTCTGAAAAAAGACAGGTACCTTCAAACCTTGTTGCAGCTATGGGCATCATCACTGCAAAGGCCTGAGGGTCTCAGTATGTGAGGTATTTAGCACCTGAAGATGGCCAACAGGATTCTGAAAACCTCCTAAGCAGGTAAGTGCCTAATCCTTTGGTTTCAAAACCATGCAAAGCACTTTTCTAAATCTCTGATTGCTCAAATACTAAAACAATACAAAACAAAACAACAACAAAAAAAACACACCACCTTTAAGAGTCTTCTCTTTCTTGCCAGCAATAGATTTCCCCCTTCACATTTCTACATTTGAAAAAATGCAGTTTTAGATTCCAGGACAGTGGTGTGGATTCCTCTGTCAGAGATTAAAATTGGTAGCATAAGCAAAGAATTGCCTGTAAGTAATTTTGCTCAGCTCAGTCATTTCTCAGCATCCATAAGAAAGAAAAAAAAGCCATTGCCACATGGCTGAAAATCACTGACAAATAAAGAGCCTTGGAGATGAAGGGAGAGGTATTAGTTTCTAAAGATAGGTATCAATCATGCCAGGCCCTGTAAGCTTCACAGGCAAACATCAACAGTTGCAGTATGTTAAAGAGAACCTTATAGTCTAATATCAGTCCTAGATTCAATAAGAGAAACAATGAACTTCGGCAATTCAGCACCACACAAGCCTGGCCCCGAGAGATTTCCTTGGAACAGGAAAACAGAGGAGTAAAATGCTTCCCCTAAAAAGAGGTGTTCCTCGAGAGGCTCTGCTTTGGCTGAAGAAGGCAATGGTGTTAAATCTCATGTTGTCATACTAGTTTCAGCGTGCATTTGATGCTGAATAAACAATGTAAATATTGTAAAGAAAGTCATTATCCCTGTAAACCAAGCTGAAAGGAAACTGTGCTTGTAGGTTAAATAAACAAACCACACACAGACAAAAAAAAAAAAGGAGAAAAAGAGGTGGTGGCTGAAATTGTGGAGACCGGCAAAGAACCTTATTCATCTATATTAATGCTCACGCCACAGGCATCGTGTGCAGGATGTAATTTCGACCGTAAAAGGGGAAGACTTATAAAGCAATCTAAACGGGGGTCATTTTTTATTTTCAGTAGTAGGCTCGCAGAGATTTTTGTAGTGGCCAATAGGTGGCTCCGCTCGCCCTTGCAGTGCAATAAATCCCCGCTGGGCTGATCTGCAGCTGTGGCAGCTGAGCGGCAATAATGTCATTGCTTGCTCGTGTCTTTTGAATAACATCCCACTGCACTGACATACTGAAAATATTGGCTGTGAAAGAAAGGAACGGAGAAAAGGGCCTTTTATGTTATGGTGTGTTGAACAGAGAGATTGTAAAATAGGTCACTTGAAGGAGCATCATACTTAGGAGTACTAAAAGTACCCTGGCTTGAACAAACTCTCAGGCAAAAGGTCATCGTACTTATAGCTGGTAAACTGAATCATTGATGGCTGTAGTTTTTAGTTCAGAAAATTGCTTCTGAGTTGAAAAGAAAGGCCTTCAGGAAATAATTAAATGATTTGAGGAACTAACTGCCCATCTGAAAAGACCTGGCCTAGCATTCATTCTCCTGTTCCATTGCTGTAAGCCTTGTAAGTCAACTGATGAAATCCTGGCCAGTGGAGTTAAAATATACTCCACAGACAAGAACGGAGAAGCTTTTTAAAAAAGAATAATGAAAGAGAATGTGTCTCAGGCTCTAGGATGAGCATAGCAGGCTGACCGGAGAGGCAGATCTGATGGAGCCTAAGGAGGTCAGACTAGGTGACAGGAGAAAAGGCACGCTGACACACAGCCCTTTTTGTCTCCCCACGGTAATGCAGCTCCTGCTGGATCTCCTTTCTTAGATGGTGCCCAGAGCTGCAATGACTGAGGCACGCAGGACTGAAATGCAGGAGCAAAACTGAATGGGAAACTGCACACCCCCTACACATGCCATGCCTAGCTGTTTTCAGGGAATCTTTTCTTCTGAAAAGCATGGAGTTGGTCAATGAATAAGAAGGTGAATGACAATTTTTCATTCAAAACTCCTCACAAGTTTTTTCCATTTCTTCGTAGAAGAGGATATTTTTACAAGGAAAGGTATGGGAGCTGAAGAATTCTGGAGAACTGCAGCAAATTAACAACTTTTCTGCCAAAGCTTTTAATACAGCACCCAGCAGTTTGTAACACATGGGATAGACAGTCCCTTGACTGACCCTGAATTACAGTGGATTACACAGTGGCATAAAAACAGGTATGGCTGTTCTGCAGAAGTTGGGCGGTGTGTAGCCTGCCCAAGTGTGGCTGTATGCCAGGGCTGTGTCACACACCTGGCTGCAAGCCTGTCTCCGTGAGCAGGCTGCTGGCAATCCAGATCTCTGGAGGTTGGATTGCTGTCTTTGTGGCCTTTCTAATGAAAAAGTAACTTGTAAACAGTAGCTACGGTGAGAACCAAATTCCTCAGTTACAGATGGTTACTTCTGTCAATTTAGGAAGAAATTGCCTTTTCTGATGTTCCCGCAGTAGGAGAGACAACACAGCTTGCCACGTGCCAGTGAATGTTACTTGAATCACATGAGGAAGACTGTCAGCCATGAAGAATGAATCCTCTGGAAGGCCCCTTCAAGCACACAGTGCAACTGGGTTCCATTTCAGATGATTCCCCTGTACTATCAGTGGTGGAAAAGCAAACCACTACTTGTTGGGCAATCTAAAGAAGGAGTCATTTGGAGAAGGAGTCATAGTCTATGAGATTTGACAGCTTCAGCAAAAACAGGTTTGTCTCTTTCTTTCCTGATTTAAGAGCTCTTGTACTTGACAGGTTTTACAAAAAGAAAAACTATCCCTGGCACCTTGCCCATTGAATGTTTGACTGCACAGAGACACCCACGCTGCCATCCCACCCCTTTCACCTACCTCAACACACACTCCTACCCCCGTAAACAGACCGCTGCTGATGTCTTTACCTTGCTGATTAGGAAAGCCACTGTGTCGTGCTTGTAGAAGTTCTCTTTGAAAGAGCCCAGCCAGGTCTCTGCTATTCGGATTTTGTTCCTCACAATGGCCTCGTCATAGGAGAAAGCCCGGGGGACGTGATTTCGATAGACATGCCCAACGCGGGAGCATGGAATGATTTCTACAGAGCCACCGCAGAGCCAGGTCTGAAACACCGGTGAAGGAGCAAAAAGAGATCATCTTTTACTATCTTCTACATAGCTGGTAAAGCACAACTAGCAGCATTGAGTAATAGACCAGCAATTTTAAGAATGCAAAGCAAAATGAAAGTCACTCATTGAGTTAAATCCTGCTCTGGGCAGTGGCTGAATGTTAATTATCAGTTCAAAAGCAACTAAAAAGGGGAAGCTCCTTTACTACAGACTCCAGGAAATTCTAATCTGCGCATTGCTGGAAACAGATAGAGCATCATTATGTGCTTCTTCATACACTGTTCCCCACAGACACTGAGACACACAGATACTGGGCAAGATAGACCTTGGAGTAGAACCATTTATATGCTTTTATGTTCTCCTGTGCACAAACAGTGCAGTAAAGTGAAGAGACCTGGGGGCACACCTTCTTTTGCCTTGGACATAAAAGACTCTGTACCCTTTGTGTCTGCAATTTCCATTGCTTGTTTAACATCAGTTACTCTTTGTATTGAGCAAAAACTAATGCACACAAATTAATATAAATGATTTAATATTTAAAGTACATATTGGCAAAGACATGAAAGCTACTCTTCCTTTGGTGCATGTTACATGTCAGAATAGAAGAGGTGGATTTCAGAAGGCGCCCAAACCAGAGACTTTGTCCTCGGGCAGATACTCATCGTAGCATCATAGGATTGTAGTACAGCTTGGGTTGGAAGGGACCTTGGAGTCTAGTAATAGTGAAACTTCTTGTCTTGCCATAATGCTCCTAACCCACAGCAGCTGCATATTCCTGTATGACAGATCATGGAGCATGGGGTAGAACTCTGCAAGTGAATTCTCCATACTTCAAGAAGTTCTGCACTTAATTGCTTTTATAAATCACTTCTTGCCTTTTCATTTAAGTCCCTTTCAAAACCCATTAGCTACCAGTCCTTGGTGTTTCAATTAAGGTTCTTACCCTTATAGATAGTTCTAGATTTTCTGCTCCCCACATGGTCATGTCAGAATCATAAGCTCCAGTGTTTTGGAAGTGATGTCGATCCATGGCAACTACTGCACCAGCTACCACAGGGCTCCTGGATAGAAAATAGTTTGGAAGTGAACAACTGTTTTGGGTAGATAATATGAAGGATGAAAACCCCATCATTTCTGTGATGGAGATAACACTGAAAAATGATTGAATGCCACCCCTTGTAATCTCAAGTTAAGTGTTTAACCAACCAAAATTAAGAACAACTGGAACTGAATTCTAGGATTTGCCTGGGGAAGAGGGCCAAGCACTTAGGTATTGAATAAGGCTCAGACCAGTGAGAAATGTAAACCATCCATGTACACCCAAAACAACAGACAAACATAACGATTAAGACGTCTCTTTTAACTCTGTATGATCCATCTTCTGCTTTCCCTACAAATTTCAATATCTTGTCTGGTCAGGTTGTATACTAGTTGCTTCCAGTTGCATAGAAAACATTTGTCATGTTGGCAGTATGACTGCAGCCTACTTAGAATGAATGCTAAAGGCCAGATAAACTCAATGTAAACCAAAAACCTGTCCCTTCAAAAAACATTAACCAAGCAAATGCAAATAACCGTGTCTCACTTTCATTAGCTGGAAGCTTTCCCAAATTGTACAGTTTTGCTGTTGAGCTGAGTGGAGGCATATTGGCTAATGAACTGTTACCTGATAGGGCTGATGGGAGACTGTCGTACCTTCTCTTCATGCTCTGGCACTGGTTCCCAGTGAAAATCTAGTTTCCAATCAAAAACACCTCGATGCAGGCCCACAGAGTGATAGTACTGAAAGGTCTTCCAGTCTATGACATCTATGACAGGGGAGACGACACTGTTTCTGCAAAAGACCATATAATTTCTTTTCAAAGCCAAAGCATAAATTCAGTACTGTGTTAGTGAACAGTGATTCTCCTTTTGATATTGTCAAACACAAACACTCATTTAGATGTTGAGTGCCCTCGTTTTCCCTCCTGACAGAGCTCAGATGCTCAGGGCACGGGAATGCTGAGCCTGCAGTAACGATTCTAAAGATTAATAATTTATTGATAACCTATACATTATATTGCCATTTTAAAGCTATTCAGGATTTTATTCTGAATTTACCATCAAAATTCTTCTGAAGTTCTTTCACACAGAGGCCTCAACCTCTGAGGTTATAGGATCTGTATGGATGTGAAGTTTACACTGAAAGATGATTCTGGGCTCACACACTTTATTGTCCTTTGATTTTCCTCTAGATGTTCCACACTTCATGAGTTTGTCACTTCAGGACAATGAAGCATGCACTTATCCTTCGTTTGTTCTGCTGGTAGCTTTGCAAAAACATTTATCACTGCATTTGGAAAACAGTTTCTGTTTGTATTGCCTTCTACCACACTGTAACGTGTTCTTGCAAGTGCACTGAAGAAAAATAAGAAGCATTCACTAGGAATTAAAGTACACTGAAAAAAATACTTTTATTCTTGAGTATCTATATAGGAAGTTATTCCAGAGTAGCTCTTTCCTTAGAAAATAGCTTCCTGTTGAAACAGAGAGAAATTAAATGGTCAGTTTTGGGGCGAAAAGTAAAAGGTTTTATCTCCCCCGTTTAAAGATATTCATGTTGGTCAGAGATTACTCTTGAGAGAAATATGTTTGAAACATACTCTAGCTGATGGAGGTAGGTCATCTCAGAATGCTGTAATGCAGTGGGCCATAGGTTCTCTTCCATGGCAGAGACCAGAACCAAATGAGGAAGCTGGCAGCCCTCGGTGATGTTCATGTAATCCTGTCATATCTTCTCTGCCTTTACAGTATCCTTAGTCTTTTTTTTTTTTTTTCCAGTAACAGGGTGAGGGGAGCTCAACATTTTGTTTTATCGTAGTTGCTCTTTCCCATAGAGAATTTTCAAACCCCATGGAGAAAAAGAGATTACTGATCTTCAGTGAATTGTATGAAAATGAACTGTGCAGAGGACAGCATTAAAATGATTCAGTTACTCCTTTGTCTCCTAATGTGAGCAGACTGCCCTGTGATGAGTTAAAGGCAGAAAGATTTAAAATAGAGAAGTGATTATATTTCTCCATTCAGGTATAAAACCAGCCCTTGCAATATGTTATTATAAGTGCTCTTAGAAACAAGCATTGAGTTTATAAATAGATAGTACAATTTTATGGTCACCTGCAACATCTGTAGGTTTATACATCAAGGCAGTGATTTGCTGTCATTCTTCTGCAGGACTCAAGCAGAAATGCAAAGAAATGATCTTAAAAATAATAAAGCTGATGTCCTTCCCTGATTCTCTTGATGAAAACCCGGTGATACAGTTTTGTATCTAGGACAGGAACAACCTGAAATCTCAAGCCAACAGGAGTCTTTCTAGTGAAAGCTGTATTTAACCTTTACTCACTAACAGCATGAAAAGGAATCTAACTGCTTCTAAAAGTTACTAAAAGGTAGTGCTCTGTTGGACTCACACAAGCAGGTGGTTTTTTCTTTGTCATGCTGAGAAAAATAGTGCTAACAATTTAAATGGATTTTCTAAGACTAAACTTCAAAAAATGAAAAATCACTATAATTTCTACAGCCTGCTGCATTCTCCAGTGCAGACATCACTGACAACTGTCTGGGTAGGAGTGTACTTGGAGCTGGATATTTCCCACCTCACTTTATTGCTCCTTGCTGAAATGCATATTATTGCTGCTTGTCTGTCCATTCCCGTCCAGACAGGACTGGGGAACTAATGACTCCAGGGTAGTTTATTTTACAGTTTCAGAGTCAAGTGGGAAAGATCAGGAGGGCATGCTTGAGTGGAAGCCAGAGCAGGCAATGTAGACTAAACCATTCAAAACCCTTGGCCATGAAGACTGGGCCACATGTGTGTAGCCACTATAGCTCAGGGAGAGACAATACAGATACTTGGAGTTACACTCAGATATATACTGGATCAGATATTCCAGGCATTTCAGATGATCTCACATTTTCATATCCAGCCATTTCAAACCCATCCTTCTTTTTGTATCCACCTTAAATTAGTTGCCACTTGAAAACTCCAAACCCCAATGATGCTTCTAGCATCCGTGCCATCGCTCACAAGTCAGCACCACAGTAACAGTTCCAGCTGAAAGAACACCTGCTTTTTAATGCATGCTTTTATTTTGGTTGTTTTGGGGCATGGTTATTCAATGTAATTCAAGAAGAATATCTGCATTGATGTCAGGGATTCTGATGGTTAGGAGACCAAGCAATTAGCCAAAATGTCTACAAATTATGGCATGGAAAATACAGTACTGGATAGGTCATATTCTAACCTGGGTGGATAAACTGGGTGGTCTTTAAGGTGCCTTCCAACCCAAGCCATTCTAAGATTTTATAATATCATTTGGTATTAAGGCTTTTTAATAAAAGATCTACTTTCTGCACATTCAGTGATGGTTCCGTGTTTCTGTGGCTCTAAATGCAAATTTGCAGCAGAAGGTAATTGAAATTTGGAAGATGTTCTTAGCTATTCTTTTTTGTTTTTAACTGAGTAACTGGCAGACAGTCAGCAGCTTCTCGGCACTTTGAAATGAAACACACTGGCAAACTACTGCTAATTTCACTCTGTGGAATCCAAGGAAAAGAAAAAAACAGGAAACTCAAATACAACTGGCAGCGAGGCTTTGAACTGTTTGACTGTGGTGATACTAATTTGTGAATATTTCAAATGCTTGGAACACATAGGATCTACAAAAGGTCACAATTCCATGAAAAAGAGCAACCCAAACAAGAACAATTTCCTAGTTTGGGATTTCTCAACCAAATACAACTTAAATGAAATGCCTTCTCATG